CTGTGGGGTCAGCTTCCGCCCTTTAATGAGCGCCCAGATTCAGGGTTACATTTCCAGTCCGATAAGCCGAAGCCGATGTTCTACCCCCAGAAGGAAAGGATATTCCTTCTCCGGACCTGAAAACAAGTGGAGAAGGTGGAAAGCGTGTGCTCTGGTCAGTAACCCGATCAAGCATAGAGCTGGTTGTCGCTACGTTACTTCCCATAGAGCTAGTTACAGGTGGCTTAAATGCGGGAGCTGTTCCAGCATAGGGTGTCTGGAGAACAGGTCCCTGCCTATCTGAAGAACAGGTCCATGTCGCTACGTTACTTCCCATAGCGCTGGTTACATGTGGCTTAAATGCGGGAGGTTCCAGCATAGGGTGTCTGGAGAACAGGTCCCTGCCTATCTGGAGAACAGGTCCATGTCGCTACGTTACTTCCCATAGCGCTAGTTACAGGTGGCTTAAATGCGGGAGCTGTTCCAGCATAGGGTGTCTGGAGAACAGGTCTCTGCGTATCTGGAGCAGTGCTCTTCGAATCGTTGCTGCTGAGCAGTTAGCTGTTGCAACGTGCGCTCATTCTCTTGAGCTCTGTCTACTAACTGCACCATCATTCGACGGATCTCAGATAGCTGAGCCTCCGATTGATTCGGAGCGGGTTGACGCTGAGGGTTCTCGGGGGCTGTTACCCCGGAGCTGTTTCCACTGGAGGACCTTGGGTTAGTTATTCCAGTGNAACTGCACCATCATTCGACGGATCTCAGATAGCTGAGCCTCCGATTGATTCGGAGCGGGTTGACGCTGAGGGTTCTCGGGGGCTGTTACCCCGGAGCTGTTTCCACTGGAGGACCTTGGGTTAGTTATTCCAGTGGTGGTCTGGTTCGGTTGAGCACTAGCCGGAGGCTGTTGCTCAGATCGGTGATCGGCGTGTCGAGCCTCCGGGACCTGGAGACTGGAGTCTCTTCCGTTTGGTGAGCCATCGATCTGGATCACGGGGTCGGGGATAGATGGTTTCGTTTCTTGGTTGGATGGATGCATTCTCAAGTTACAGATTAAGGGATTCGATTATATCGTCCCCACAGACGGCGCCAAAATGTGAGGGATAAAACTCACTTCCTGATTTTAGGTTAGGTTTAGATTGGAGAAAAGATAATGTGGGCTGAATCCCGTTAGAACTTGTATGAATTTATACGTTTGTTTATATTGATTTTGATAAGAAAATGAGTTTACAAAGATGAACTTGATGATGAGAAGTACAAAGATGAATTGAGATGATTACAATTAAGGAAAAGTGTTTAAGTCTTTAGGTCTAAAAAATGAGTCGAGGAGGATCCTTTTCTCTGATCTCCTCCTCCCTTAAATAGCTCTCAGACACGTTTGAACGACCCTAACCAGCCTCCGAGATTTGCTCCGTGAGTTGGGGGATTCTCAACAGCCTCCTTTTGACCGGGTCCTGTGCAACCAGCCTGAGCTACTCCTGTTAGCTCTTTCTAAATGAGGTCCGGAGCTCTCCTCCGTGACCTGTTTTGTTGACGTCCCTTCCTTAGCAAACAGCCTCCGGCTTCTTTTTAACTCTTTTCTCAAAAGATAAATTGCCGATGGGCTTACAGTGGCCCATAGTCAACTCTTATCGCTCGAGCCCATTAGTCTCAGCTAGCGGGCCATATTTAGGCCCAACATGTTCCGACATAAAAAGACAACAAAAACAAGACTGGTAAAAATCTATCATGTACAAAGAATGTGAAAACATCGAACCATAAAATGTATTTGTCTACGTGAACACACCAGACCATGATAACAATAAAGATAATCTGCCTCACCATTACCGTTGACTTCCATTTCCTACATCTGTCCACATATTAGAAACTATCATGTTTCTCCAATTATTAGAGCATTTCCAATAACTCACCATTTAAGACCATTTAAAATAAATGAGAAATAATTAAAACATGAGCGAGAACTAAATAAAGTTCTCATTATGAACCTTCAAGAACTGGTTCAGAACAAAAGACATATTTCACTCTAGCAAGATTTCAATTGGTTTAGAAAAAGATAAACATAAATAAATAATTATAATAGTAATATTTCTTTTGTTTTAGAAACTGTCATCAGTTCAAATCGATAATGTTGCTCTTATCGTACTCTCGTTGTTGAGATTCAAGAGTACCAACTTCTTCAGTGCATACTTCTCAATTTTTTTCTTCTTCATTGTGTTTATTGACCACTTCATTTGAAAAATCATCTAATAAATATTTTTTACATAAAAAAGTTATGCAATCCAGCACATACCAAAATTAACTCCGATTGTGTCTGAAAAGAGAAAGAAGCACAGATTTAAAAATTAAAAATATGAGATCTGATTATACTAAACATTCTTTCGATCACATTTCTTCAAGACGTATGCCAAGAACTGAATAACTCGTTTCGGTTACTGGAATCAAGGCCCTATGCCCCTAAATGATTGTAGATGATATCAAATACTTCTGAATGGAGCTAAAAACTTATGACGTTTGGCAAACCCATTAATCTTCTAAATAAAATTTTCTTGAAGAATAATAAACATCATGAAATCAGTTTTATATACATAAAAATTATCATAATATGAACACAAATTTGTCAGCCACACCTTCTGGAACTTCCAATCTGCAAATGCCTCTTGTTAGAGCATGACTAAATATTTTTAAATCATGAGCTGAACCTTCCATCCACTAAAAATAAATATAAACTGTAGATCAAAATTGTAAGTGGCCAGAACATTTTGTGATACAAATCCTTTACAATTATGATTGCTTGGCACATCACATTTTTAGCATTATTGCAAATATACGTGTGAATTTATTGCTCCGATGCAATCTTGTAATGATAGATAAAAACAGATGGAACAAAAAGAATTGTATAGAAACTTTCATATAATAGATCAGAGAGATGGAAATAAGAAGTATGTATTTTGAAGTAAAGATAAAAACATGTCTCTCTTATTTTTGCACATGTTGTCATTCCAGGATTTGCCATGAAGTATGGCACTAAAGTATTCAGGTCTTTTAGAGCCTTGTGAAAATTCTCACTAGTGGCGAATACTGATCTCCCGGAGATGTCTATTGTGTAACAATACTTTTAACTCTGACCAATAGCTAGGAGAAATGTAGCCACTATTTCTTCAATTCATATATTGTGGATATCCTTGAGACATGTTCTCACCCTAATAAGATCACACAGCTTCAAAAATGAGTTTGGATACATGCAATTTAAATATTGAAAGTGTTTCGGTCCTTCCTTCAAGGCTTTCTGAATGTAATCATAACCAATGTTGGTGATTGATCGACAAAGAGAACGTTCAGTGCGGTTCACATACGTCATAGCGACTATTGCTACATTATCCAAATTTGTTTCATCATCTCTATATTGGTTGCTTCTTTTTACGCAAGCACACCTGCATATCCAAATATGTTTTGTTATATTCTATACATTAACAATAGTTAGTTCTTAAATGAGATTACAATGGAGGATAAAGAAACCAATGGGTTGGACCAGTGGCACTTGATGGATAATCCCAATACGGTGAACCCGCATACTTGGCTGATAAACTATTTAAATCATGAATTTACTTCTTAATGTTTGTTTGAAATACTTTTGTATATATGTACACCAAGATATAAGGTTGTTTACATGTGTACATCAGAAAAATTAGGTACACAACACAGATTGTACACATGTACACATATATAACAAAGTTAATGTAAAGAAAACAATTTAAATAAATAGTATCAATAAAATAGTTTCATGTGGACAACAATATAAAAGTGTAAATGTGTATAAGATGTATCTGAATGTATAATCTTCTTCTTGATGAACCATTTTGGTATATTCTTAAAACTATATCCATCTTACACAATGTATTCATCACAGTGTACATGTGTAGTCATCAGAGTGTACATATGTACACTATCATCAACGTGTACACTATGTATCCAAATCCACACTAATCCTCAACATTCCACATCGACACCATTTTACTTGTACATGGTACACAAGCTAAATGATGCACATGATTTTAATGAGTTTTAACATTTGTTTTTAGTTCCTTTAACTTATCTTAGAATTCATTTTGAGGTCTTTAGTGTGTATTTGGCTATTATTTTTGATAGGGTCTTACAAAAAGTAGTTGGAAACTAGGGGAAAAATTAATAGGATGTTTCTGCAAAACAAAAAAAAAAGTTTAGAGCCAAAACAAAATTACAAAAACTGAAGGACTAAATGTGCAAGAAAATGAAAGTTGTCCATTGTTGCTCAAGTTTCATTATGTGTCCATGGATTGCGGGTAAGAGATAAACCAATGATGACGAGGTGAGACTTGAGACAAAGATGACATAAACGTCATTACTAAAATTTGATCGTTGATCTCTGGCATAGAAGAAAGAACACATCGAATTTGTCGGATTCTGTCATAACTGGCGGATCCGCAAGTAAATAGAGATTTTTTTTCTTCTCTACAAAACACAAATAAAATAAAAGATCCAAAGTACTTATCGTAGACAATCTTTTTCTCCGGATATTTACATCTCATCATCTTCTCCACTATGTCTGTCACCCCAAACTTTTGTTTAATAGAAAGTTTAAATTTTTACAGTTTTCTCTTTGTTTCTCTTTTTTTTTTCTCGCTAGATAATTATTAAAAAAAAACTTGGCCGTGTGATGGATAACACAAGTTATCTCTGAAGTAAGTGGGTGAAAAGTTAAATTTAGTTGACTTTGTTTTAGGTATACTTTCTATAATTAATTCAAAAAGATAAGTAATGCTAAAAAGTATATGGTTTCACTTTATTGTATGTAATTAGGCAATTGACTTAAAGAAACTACAATGTGTCGTAGAGTGTAGTAAAAACTTAAAACTGAATGGAAATAAGTCATGATTCAGTATACTATATTCTATTATGGATCATCATCTTCTATACCTAGAAATTCGGCTGTAAAAGTTTGGGGGTATTCTTGTAAATATGAAACTTTACCCACAATACTATAATTCTATTATGCATCATCATCTTCTCCAATAATGAATCCGTTCATCCACTTCTGTTTCTTCCCCTAGAAAATTGCGCAAACCTAGAGAAAAAGAGAGAGAGAAAACAGTTGATGAGATTCTACAAGAGAGAGAAAAAAAAATCCTCTGATCTGTCTATCTCAATTCGATATCGCAGCATTTTCCCATCGTTGCGATACGAGATCCCTGAATGAAAGACTAACGATCTAGGTTTGAAAATTTTCCTTGATTTTCTGGTTGAATCAATTGAGAATGATTTCGAATCCAAGTCTATTGTCTTACACATGCATCGCGAAAGGAACCGTCGTCCTCGCGGAGTTCGCATCAAAGGAAGAGCCAGGAATCGAAGACGTAGCTCTACGATGCATCGAGAACACGCCTCCACACCATTCAATCTTCTCTCACACAGTTCACAAGAAGACCTACACATTCGCAATCGATGATGACTCCTTGGTCTACTTCGCGATTATGGACGAAACCATGGAGAAACCAGAATCCTTCCGGGTCCTAAGTCGGTTGAGATCAGCTGTTGAAGATCTCATCAGAGGAGGAGGTGGATCCGATGCCTTGATCAATAATCCTGCTCCGCGTTGTCTCCAAGCGGAGATGGATCCAGTTTTCGCGGAGATTTTCGGTGGTGTTGATTTGGAATTGGACATGGATTTGGTTGGATCTCCGAGGAGCGTAGCCAGGGAGAGCAGGAATTTGAGTATCGATTCGACCAAAGGGAGGAGAGCTGCGTTGATGCCGCTTCTGGGTAAGCCGTTGAAGGCGTTGAAGAAGAAAAAGAGGTTGCATACGGAAGATTCTGGTGAGGTTGGTATGGTTAATGAGATGTCGGAGAAGAAGGTTGATTTATGCGGGAATGGGAACGGTGGAGTGTTACGCAAGGAACTGAGGAATGGTTTGTTAACAGATCACCATAAGGCGAAACAGATGTGGAAGAAACATGTGTGGGTGGTTTTGATTTTCGATTTCTGCATCTGTGCTGTTCTGTTCGGAATCTGGCTTTGGGTTTGTCAAGGTTTTCAATGCGTTAATGGATAAAGTAATCATCAGTCTCTGTGAACATCTATTGTTTTCAATCTGCATCAAATTTGATCATTGACGTTTTTCACTTTCATTCTTTTGCATCTGGGTATTCGTTTTTGGGATCGAATCTGATCCCCTTTTTTTAATCTTCTTTATTTTTTGAGATCACAGAATGTGTTGTTTGCAGGAGGTTGAATCCTGGCTTTACATGTTAGTGATGTTCATTGTACTGACAAGCAACATGTGTGTTGTTGTATTGTATGTCTATTTCTCTCTTTTTTGCTTTGCTGTATATTCCCCATAACTTGTGTGCTGTGATTGAACGTGGGTCGCAAAATAATGGATGACAAATAATATATGGTTTCAGATCCAGGCACAAATTAATATAGTAGATTGCATCTATGGTCGGTGTATTTTAAAATATTGTTCCAAAAATGAGAATGATTCCAAAAATGAGAATGATTCCAGCAGTTAGATTTATGAATTTGTAATTGTCTATTGCTTAAAATTACAGACTCGAGTGAAAGAATAAAGTTCAGAAATAAGAAACAGAAAAGGGAGAATGGGTTAAATATGCAAGTCTTATAATCTCAGCCACAAGGTGTGAGTTCTTGTTCCCTGCACCACGAGGATTATTATCCTTCCAATCATCAAAAGCTCTAGCTTTCATTACAGTTTCTTAATCCTCGTCATCGTCTTCCTCCTTTCTACTCAGAGGTTTATCATCATTGTACCATGACGTGCTTGCTTCTTCAATGGCCTTTTTCGTCTGTTCTTGCCAATCATTATATTCATCTATCTTAGCCTAGCATCCTCTGTGCTCATCGTGGGCATCCTGAAAACCCAAGTTTAATCGCATTTCTTTTGGTCTCGGAATGGGTAAGATTTTGTTTTGTTTACCTGTGACTTGGTTGGAAAACCTGAGCTATCATCCTCTCTCTCTCTCTGTAGAGAGTCCTCCATTCACGATGCTTGCCGGACCGAAAATCAGAGGTTGGTGGTGCTTGTGCTCATGACCCTGTGACACACAAGCTCCACCTTCTAACACATCTTGTGCAAATGTGGCACAAGTGATTGGCTGTGCCGGTCTAGAGTATTGTGCCCTCGCAGCAGCATCTCTGTGTCAGGTTTCAGCTCTCTTTGTGCGATCATCTAGAGCATCCCGAGGAAACTCATTATCTCCATTCTAATCAGGGGATTCAAAGTAAACATCTTCTTAGTTCGTATGCAAAATCAAAGTGTCACTGCCATGTAAAGAATGCCATATACCTTCAACTGTTTTTCCTTGATTGCAGAGAGCATTTCCTCTTCCATCCTTAACATTTCCAACAGATCAATAGCCTGCACCGAAGCTTAACCATCAGATAAAGCCACATCTTCTAACAAACCATATGATTCTAACAGATGTGTTTTTTATACAAACCTTACAAATAGCCAAGTTAATTGTGGAGAGCCACGCCTGCAAAGAAAAAGCCATACAACATAAGTCTTAGCAGAAAGAAAAAAAAAATGATTTAAATAACACAGAGAGTAACAAAACAGATGACGAACATCTCTCTCTTCTTCACTGTCATCATCTGGGGTATCTTCATCTTCTCCAGACTCAACATAAGTTGACAAGAAGGTAGCAGCTTTAGTTGAATATCCACGCCGCTACTTCCTCTCTTAAATTTCAAGGAGCTTCGACTCTGCAGCCTTTTGACGTTTGAACCGAGCTATCTAGAAAAAGTATCATAATCATAAAGAAACAAAACACGAATTGTCAAAACCCTCTAGAAACACAAGTAACGGGGGCAGGATCTACCTTGAGAGCTCTACGATCAGCAGGTGGAGCAGTACCACCTCGTGAAGAAGCCTCCAACTCATCTTTAGGAACAAGCTCCATCGCCTCATATCTCTCCACTTGAGCCTAATACAAAACTAGAACAGAAACATAGAAATGAATCTCGATTGCATTAATTACCAAAAGATACTTGAGTTTGTTGGTGCTGATATCTTCTTTGGGAGAATAGCCCCAGCTTCCCGACCATGTCTTCGCACTTGTGTTCACTACATCCTAACAAGAAATGAAAAGATAACGATCTATGATGAATCTTGAATTTTAATAGAATGTATAAAAGTTTTTAAGCTTGCATGCTTTCAGGATTTTGATTTCCTATACAGTGTTAAGGATTTTCGATTTCTTCAAAGTTGATAACTTTTCGTTTTGGTATGACATGTTCATGTAGAGAAGGAAAGATTTAGTAAGTAATGGCCATTGTTGACAAAAGGAAGCTTGAGAAGAAGAAGAAGAAGCATCAGCTGTTGCTCGTTTCTATAAGATCGTTTTGGGTTGGGACTATAAAAACAGCTTACGAAAGAGAATGAGGTGGATAAGCAAAACTCTCTTCTTTCCTTGTGGTGTGGTTTCTCTTTATATATGTATGTAACTGGAACCTTTTCTAATGTAATACAGAGAAAAAAACATGAAGGGTTCTGAAGGGAAGTTGAGTGTTGTTAAGAATACTTATAAAGATGTTGATGAGTATTTCGAGACCTTTGAGCCTTTGCTCTTTAAGGAAGTCAAAGCTCAGATTTTGCAATGAGTATTTCGAGAGCTTTGAGCCTTTTCTCTTTGAGGAAGTCAAAGCTCAGATTTTGCAGAATCAAGATGGTGAAGAAGGTTTGATGATCCATTCCTCAAAAGCTCAGATTTTGCAGAATCACCAATATGGTGAAGAAGGTTACATCCGTCCATCCTAATTGTTCATGAAAAGTGATAAAAGTAGTTATTTGGTTTTGGATGTGGAATTAACTTTTATGTTGTTTTGTTCTCTTTAGCATCCGTGTGTAAAATGAGATTAGTAATGGAGTGCAGGGAGGCTGATGGGTTTCACATTCTTCTAGTCACTTACGAACACGAAGAGAACAGTTTGCTCCAGATGATCTCTTACTGCTGCCTAAAGAAGAGGTACTATTTACTACTCTTCTGCATATTGTTTATGTTTCAATTGCGTATATATCATCGTTTCTTGTATAAAAGCCATTGTAAAGGTTGTGATTAAAATTTTTCAGATTAAAGGGAGTTCATTTCCTTCCATCTTATGGGTTCGCTGTGGTGGAAAACCGTCAAATTAATCATCTTCGTCTTCGGATGTGTTTAGCTGAAGAGGTAGTGCAGATAACCAAAAATACGAAATACTCTAGAACAGAGCCATTTATAAAATCTCTCTCGAATATGCGTTCTCTTATTACATCATCTGCAAGTCTTTTAGACAAAAGGATATTCAGTTTAAAGGTCAGTTGAATTATAGAAATGTACTTCTTTCTATTCAGTGGTATTGATTTTTTATTTTATATTGCAGTTAATTATGTGGTTTATCAACCATTATTCTGGAATACATAAGCACTACGATCAACTTTCAGTCATTGTCAGAGACAATCATTGGGAACGAGCTTCTCCTTGGATTCTGGATGTCAACCCACGAGATGCTATCATGCCTCAAGATGGTGATGATGGTTTTTTTCCGACCTCAGAAAATGATATGGTGAGGAAAATTTTATTCTGAAGACACATTTGTAATAATCTTGCTTAAATTTTAATTTTTATGTATGATTAGGGCGTTTCCCGGACTACGCCCGGGTTTCTTATTTATAAATTTTTTGTTATAATTGTTTCAAAATGACATAATAAAATTTATAGTCATACATATAGAAAATATGACTTTGGTGACATATAATATAAGAATGTATAAGAAATCAGATTTGTTTTTGCTAAATAAAAACCTTCGACAATTAAACTTTTTTTTTTCTTATTTATAATTTCAGATTTTTAAGATTATCTTTATTCCCGTGTGCACATCAACTCTTTCCTACATAAACACATTCTGTGCATTTTCCCTATATCTCAATACATGTAATCAATTACGACCCCATAATTCCAAAACAAATGAAAAATGAATTAAATTATAATAATATCAAACCAAATCTCTATATCTTTTTCACATGGTTATAGAAAAAAACATATCTAAGTTTCTCTCACCAGAATCAATGGAGCTTGCACATCCAATTGCTGCTTCCCCAAAATTAGGATCGAGAAGTTATTTGATCACTGAATCATCTGACTTAAAGAGGAACATATTTCACCTTGAAGCTAGCTCGCATCAAACCTTAAACCTGGATTATGAAAATCCATGGTTTTCTCCCAGTTCTGATCAATAGAAGCACTACACCAGCTCGTAACAAACCAAATAACTTGAAGATGACAATGTTTTCATTTATATCTTTCATATTATTATTAGTATTATTATGAGACATAACCAAATAGCATTTCGAGATAAAAATTTAAAATATTTTGAATATTCAATTTTTATGTTTTAACTTTTAACCAATTTTCCTTAATTATGCTTTACTTATCCACAACATAATAGTGAATATTATCAAGTGTTAATCATCAAATAAACATCAAATAAAAGCTGACATAGCTTCTAAAATAAGATTTTTGTTTGACTGAAAAGTTTCTTGCAATGCAGTCACCAGCCGGAAAATTTAATTTCAAAAAGGAAAAACAATCATTTAGTATTATTTCCATTTTTCATGAGGTATAATATACTCAAATGCATAAGATTAAGGAAAATGAGTAGTGGTCAAGTAATATATTCAATATTCCGATATTGGCAAAGGCATGAAACATCAAGGTCCAATGATATACATTTGTATTTATTTTGCTGCTTTGCCTTACCATTTTAACAATTTACGTAGGATTTAGTCTTGATATCCTTTTTTAGGTTTGAATATGTTTGATTAATAGATTAACTTTAATAAATGTTATTTTGAGGTGGAAATATAATCTACCCTCTTGAAATAGGCATATGACACAGATTATTCAAATTGAGTTCTTACCCATTTATTTTTTTTCATAATAAAATAAAAACGATATTAGACTACTTTTATAACTATTGAATTTAACAAAAACTATCTTCCTATTTGAAAATCTCTACACTCTGATTTTCTGGAGCTAATTAACCAAGTTGATT